AAAAAAAAAAAAAAAGCGAAAACCTTCCAATAAGAATCCAGATCCAACAATAATGATGATGCAGCAGCAGCAGCAGCCAGTTATTGTGCTGAACCAGAAGACTGAACGTCAGGTGGGACGAAAGGCACAGATGAATAATATTGAGGCTGCCAAGACAGTTGCCAGTCTCATCAGCAGCACACTTGGCCCATGTGCAATGCTCAAGATGATTCTTGATCCTATGGGCGGCACAGTGCTAACAAACGACGGTAACTGCATTCTTCGTGAGATTGATGTGGTCCATCCAGCGGCTAAACACATGTTGGAATTGGCACGGGCACAAGATGAGGAAGTGGGCGATGGCACCACATCTGTTATTGTGTTAACAGGTGAGATTCTCAGTCTCGCACAGCCACTGTTGGAGCGCAACATTCACCCACTGAAGATAGTGAAGGGATTCTCCCTCGCCCTCACAGATGCCCTTGCGGCTATTGAACAGATCGCCACAAACATTGATCCTAACAGCACTGAACAATTGGAGAATGTGGTACGTGCGTGTTTGGGTACAAAGTTTAACTCTCGTGAAGATGATCTCATGTGCAAGATGGCAGTGGCTGCGACACAGCGTGTGGTGGTAGAGAATAAGATCACAGGTAAGAAGGAAGTGGATATTAAGCGCTACGCCAAGGTAGAGAAAATCCCTGGCGGTTCTATCACCGATAGCGTTGTGCTGGATGGTGTGATGTTTAACAAGGACCACATTCATGCAAAGATGCGTCGCCATATTGAAAATCCACGTATTATCTTATTGGATTGCCCACTGGAGTATAAGAAACCAGAGACAACGATTAACGTGGAAGTTGGACAAGCCACCGATTGGGAGGCATTGTTAAAGCAGGAGGAAGATTACGTTCGTTCTCTCTGTAATGTGATCATCAGCTTTAAACCAGATGTGGTTATCACAGAAAAGGGAGCCTCTGATCTTGCCGCCCATTTCTTATATAAGGCTAACATTACATGTATTCGTCGTCTTCGTAAGACAGATAATAACCGTATTGCCCGTGCCACCGGGGCAACCATTGTGAGTCGTGTGGAGGAGTTAACAGAGGAACACATTGGACATGCGGGATTAATGGAGATTAAGAAGATAGGTGATGAGTACTTCACCTTTATTACTGGCTGCAGTACAGGTACAGCATGCAGCATAGTACTCCGCGGTGCCAGCAAAGATACATTAAATGAAATGGAACGTAACTTACATGATGCGATGTGTGTGGCCCGTAATATCATTCTTGAACCTCGTGTGGTGTACGGTGCGGCTGCGCTTGAGATGTACGTCTCTCGTTATTTAATGAATCGTGCCAAGACCATCACTGGTGTTCAACAGGCGGCTTATCAAGCTGTGGGGATGGCATTGGAAGTGGTGCCACGCATCTTAACAAGCAACTGCGGTGCTAATGTGATTCGCACAGTTACCGAACTGCGTGCGCTTCATGCGGTGGCGAATGGAGAGTACTGGGGAGTGGATGGCACGACTGGAGAGATTGTGGATGTGCGTGTGTTGAAGGTGATGGAGCCGGCAGCAGTGAAGGTGCAGGCACTGAAGACTGCGATTGAGGCCGCGTCTATGATATTGCGTGTGGACGATGTCGTCTCCGGCACAAAACTGCGGCATGAGAAGGAAAAGCCCGCACCCGCAGCGGCAGCCAATGATGATGAACAGGGAGATGCCGCAGCAGAGTAGTTTACATAAGTATATATATAT